AATTGACACATTATAAACTGACTATACCTCAATAAAAAAAAAATGTAATTGTGATAGTCAGAGTAATGACTACCTCTGCACACACATGCATACCTCAATTCCCGGAACCTGTATGTTATTTTACATGATAAAAGGGACTCTGCAGTTGTGATTAAGATTAAGGAAATTAAGATGGGAGATAATTCTGGAATATCCAGGTTGGCTCAGTCTAATTACATTAGTCTTTGAAAGCTGTGAACCTTTTCCAGTGTGGTCAAAGGGAGATGTAAATATGGGGGAGGGGGGGTTAGTCAGAGATGCTGTAAGTGATAGCTTTGAAGGCAGAGGGAGGGGGCTTGGAGCCAAGATATGCAGGCAGCCTCTAGAAGCTAGAAAAGAGAAACAGATTCTCTCCCCTGGAGTCTTCAGAAAGGAATGCAGCCGTGTTCCCATTATAGCCTGATGGAACCTGTGGTGGATTTCTCACTTCCAGACTGTAAAACAAGTTTGTGTTTTTAAGCCACTGAATTTGCAATGATTTGTTATGGCGATAGGAAACTAATAGGGTAATTTCCTATATCCTAGACAAAAGTAGATACTATGAACATTTTCAGGAATTAAAAAAATTGCATATTGCTGTTTGAATATTCACTTTATGTATAAATTTGATTCTGAATTTATATTTTAGTGGATATTCTGTTATTTGGTGATTTTTCATAGTTTATAATCATCCCTGATTATCTGTTAATATGCCAGAATATGGGCTTGGGAGCAAGGGATGAGTGAGGTCTTCATAAAAGAAGAATCTACAAACAAACAAGAAAGTATCCTTCTCTTTGGCATGTGTCACTGAGTCAAGAGGATTCCATCATTTCTGGTGGCCCAGTATCCTCTCCTTTCTTAAGTATATGGCTCTTCATGTCTCCAAGTATTCAAAGCTAGATCCTCCATTCACCAGTTATAGTAGCTGAATGTCAGGATGCTTCTGCCAACTTAGCAGCAGAATTAATATTAATAAATTGTATCATCAAATAAATCACCTTTTCCATGTAACAACCTAATAAACTGCCAGCAGGTCAATTAGCGTTTACTCATAGTTGACTTGCTCTGGAATATCCTTGATTCCCAAGTCACTTGAAAAGACAAGATGTTTTTGTTAGTTAATGCCCAGTGTTAATTACCTTCCCTTGAAATATTGATTTTTACATCAAGGAAGATAAATGCTGAAGTATTGGCAGCTGAGTGTTCTTCTTATAGAGCCTGGCATTTTACAGATGGAAGAGACATTGTGCTCTCACTACGCTATCACTTTGGT